CTGTGTGTGTCTCCACCTCTTTGACTTTTTTCCTCAGGTATCAGCTCACCAAATGCCAAAGGCCTTAGGGTTCCTTTTCCCTGTTTGTCCATAAGAGGGGTGTCGCCCCATCGCTGGCTCATGGCTGTCCTTCCACACACACCCATTCTCCCGGTTTTCCCTCTCAGCTCAGTGTACGGGCTGAAGCAGACACTGTTGGCCGAATCGGGGGCTCTGACCAACTACAGCTACCAGGTGTTCTCAGCCTGGGACTTTGGCCTTTGCGGGGACGTCCACGTGCGACTGCGCCAGCGCATCCTCCTGTATGAGTTGCAGGTGCATTTGGGGGCAGATTCTATAGCTGCAGAGGGGCCGGATATGACCAAGCTGGAGGACTGCGTGGGGCTTTGTGCAGCGACAGAGCTTTCGGGGAGACTCTGGGCGGAGAGAGGCGGGTCTTGCGGGGGGGATGAAAAGGTTGAGAGGAGGCCTTGATAGAGTCCATGGGTGCGGAAAAAAGTAAGCACCTAGAAAAGGGCGTGGCCTAAATTGCCTTGGTTCAAAGTTAAGCAATGGGCTGGCCCATAAAAGGGCGGGACTTGGTACAGCTGAGCTGGAACTTCAGGCTTAAAGTGAAATGTACGGCTGGGTCAGGGGCCGAGTAACAAAGGGGCGTGCCTTGGGTGATAGGCGTGGCCTAGGGGCTTGGTGGGCTGATTGGCTGCCGGGGGAGGTGGGGCGTAGGGGTGATGGCTAGGCCTCTGAGGGGCGGGGTCTAGGGTGCTGGGCGGAGCCGTAAAGAAGTACGAGTCTCGGGGCCTCCGAGATTGTGGAACAAGGACTACAGCGGTCCTTAGCGGGTGGAGTGAGGGCTACATCAGTTTAAGTTAAGGAGGAACTCTGGAGAGGTCCAAAACTGGGGGAATGGAGCTCAAGTGGACGTCTCTTCTGGCTTCAGGTGGAGCTGGAGGAAGCAGACGTGAGGCGCCGAGCTGCAGTGCGGACTCTGGGCCAGAAAGTCAAGATTTGGTTGGTGCGGGCGCTGCTCAACTTGCTGGTGGTCGCGCTCCTGGGGGCAGCCTTCTATGGCGTCTACTGGGCGACAGGATACGCCGTGAAGCTGCAGGTGCGGAGAGTCTTGGAAGACGATGGTCTGGGGGGTGTGTGTGTGTGTGTGTGTGTGTCTTGAAACCTATATTTCCAAGGAGGGAGGGAGGGGATGGAAGTCTAGGATTCCTGAAATCCTAGGAAGTATGGGGTTGTCTAAGACCCTGGACTTCGGGTGCCTGAAGGAAGTAGAGGCAGGAGCAGGACCTTAAGCATAGCTTCTCCAGGATCCCGGAGACTCTTCTCTTGCTTTATCCTTCCTCCCAGGAGAAGACCGTTGTCCAGAACATACCACTGTTAAGGCTGGGGGTGAATTACCTTCCGTCCATCTTCATCTCTGTGGTCAACTTTGTGCTCCCGCCCGTGTTCGCCGTCATTGCCCCCCTGGAGGGCTATACTCGGAGCCGCCAGATCGTTTTTATTTTGCTCAGGTTCTAGCCTCATGGGGCAGGCTGGGGATGATTTGGGAGGGGTAGGGGAGGCGGGCCAGGAATGCTGGTTTTGGTAAATAAGATATGGGAATCCAGCTTGCACACCTGTAGCACAGTGGTTACAGCTCTAGCCACATGCATTGAGGGTGGTGGGTTCGAACCCAGCCCGAGAAGGCTAAACAATGGCAACTGCAACCAAAAAATAGCCGGGCGTTGTGGTGGGCGCCTGTAGTCCCAGCTACTCAGGAGGCTGAGGCAAGAGAATCGCTTAAGCCCAGGAGTTAGCTGTGACACCATAGCCCTCTACCCAGGGCAACAGAGTGAGACTCTGTCTCAAAAAAAAAAAAAAAAAAAAGACATGGAAATCCTGCAGAAATGGGATCTAAGAGGTTGTGTCTTCAAATCCTGACTCAGCCACTGAGCCTCAGTTTCTTCATCTGTGAAATGGGGAGGATCATGAGTTCCACAAAGGAGGGAACTGGCAAGTGATGGGTACAGAGTCAGTGCTGACTCCTCTTCCTCTGCCTTCTCCTTGGCAGGACTGTGTTTCTCCGTCTCACCTCCTTGGTGGTCCTGCTCTTCTCCCTCTGGAATCAGATTACCTGTGGGGGCGATGGCCAGGATGAAGAGTGCAAAACTTGTGGCTACAATTACAAAGAGCTTCCGGTAAGAACAGTGTGTTAGTGTGTTTAGAAATCCTGAGTTCTGAGTTGGGACAATACAGAGCCCCAAATCCTGTGTCCCTGATGGAAAAATTTAGCTGGGTGGGTCCCAACTCCTGGCTTAGGAAGAAAGAGAAGCTAGGGTGCTGGAACACCCTTCTGGAAGTATGAATGCTTGAAAAACAAGGACCCCCTTCCCCCAAGAAAGTATTAATAGATCCCATTGGCTTGTTATCTGGAGGCTCCGACGCCTAAGCCTCCAGGTCCTGAGGTCTTTCCGACCTGTTTTTTGTTTTTTTTTTTTTGAGTCAGAGTCTCAAGATGTCGCCCTGGACAGAGTGCTGTTGCGTCATAGCTCACAGCAACCTCCAAGTCTTGGTCTCAAGCGATCCTCTTGCCTCAGTTTTTCTATTTTTAGTACAGATGGGGTCTCACTTTTGCTCAGGCTGGTCTCGTACTCGTGAGCTCAAGCAATCCACCTGCCTTGGCCTCCCAGAGTGTTAGGATTACAGGCGTGAGCCACCGCGCCCGGCCCCGACCTATTTCTTTCTTTTTCAGTGCTGGGAGACTCGGCTTGGCCAAGAGATGTACAAGCTTCTGCTTTTTGACCTGCTGACTAGCTTGGCAGTAATGCTGCTCATCCAGTTTCCTCGAAAGTGAGAGTCCCGCCCCTCATTGTGGTCCCTTTCCTATTGGAACAGGCCTCACCGTTTTGAGCAGTTCTCTTCCTTTTAATCCTGCCCTTTTCTCCTACTACCGCCTCTGACTGGTCCCTTTCCTTGACCCAGGTCCGCGAACCCCGCCCGCTATCTGTTTTAGGGGGTTACTTTTTCTGACTCTACCCCTACCGCAGCGATCCCTCGGGGCCCATCTCGTCCTCAGGCCCCGCCCTCTGGACCCACCCCCTCCACCTCCTTGTAGAATCTTGAAAACCCCGCCCCCTCATCTCCTTCGCGATTGGTGAGCGGGACAGTGGAGGCGGGGAAACTCGGGCGGGCTCGCCCTTGACTAGGCCTGGCCCCGCCTTTCAGGCTCCTTTGCGGCTTCTGTCCTGGGACGCTGGGTCGTCTGGCGGGGACCCAGGAGTTCCAGGTGCCTGACGAGGTGCTGGGGCTCATCTACGCACAGACGGTAGTCTGGGTGGGAAGTTTCTTCTGCCCTTTATTGCCCCTGCTTAACACAGCCAAGTTCCTGCTGCTTTTCTACCTGAAGAAGGTGAGGCAGGGGGGTGGGTGGAACCCTCGGGTCTTGGAGGAGGATGATGCTGGGGGCCTGGACTGCTAGGTCCTAAGGAGGAGCCTGGAGGACAGACTTCTGGATCTGGGAGGAGGGGGTCTGTCTAAGGCATCTTGGCTTGTAGATCTCAGAGATGGGGAGATCTACATCTCAGTAATCTCTCTGAATGAGCAGGGGGCCCAGACTCCCAGATTGGGAAAAAAGGAGAGGCAAGGGACTCAGATTCTTGCGTCTTGGACTTCCTTTTTCCTCCTTTTCCCCTGACAGCTCACCCTCTTCTCCACCTGCTCCCCGGCCTCCCGCAACTTCCGGGCTTCCACAGTGAATTTCTTTTTCCCTTTGGTCCTTCTTTTGGGTTTGGCCATTTCTGCTGTTCCCGTGCTTTACAGCATCTTCCTGTAAGTGTGAGAGGCTCCTGCCTCTCTCTGTCCTACCCTCATTCTGTGTTCAATTCCTGGCCCTGCCTGAGCCCAGCCCCCAGCCCAGCCCATCTCTGACTTCAGGATCCCACCTTCTAAGCCGTGTGGTCCATTTCGGGGTCAGTCATCCATCTGGGCCCAGATCCCAGAATCTATTTCCAGCCTCCCTCAGACCGCCCAGAACTTTTTCTTCTTCCTGGGAACCCAGGCTTTTGCTGTGCCCCTTCTGCTGATCTCCAGGTGAGATGGCCCAGACTTCTGAGTTTGAATGTGTGTGATCTGGGGGGCCCGCCACCTATGCCCAAGTGAGGAGGGGTTTGGGGTGGGGAGACCTGGGAACTCCTGGGTCTGAGAGAGGAGAGCAGCTGGGGCATGGACTTCTGGTCCAAAGGAGGAAGAGGGTGGGAATAAGAACTCCTGGGTCTGATGGAAGTAGGAGTGAGCTGGGGTACTGAACTCCTTGAATCTGAAAGAGGAGGGATTTTAGGGGTCCACAGCCCTGGTTTCTAAGGAGTCATGCGTTGAAGATAATCGAAGAGCATTTCATAGTTGGCTTCCATTCCTCCTCCGCTAGCATCCTGATGGCATATACTGTGGCTCTGGCCAACTCCTATGGACGCCTCATCTCTGAGCTTAAACGTCAGATAGAGACGGTGAGCCAGGCCGGGTCCTAAGAAGCAGGACATGGGAAGGTAAGTGGGGAAGAGAAATTATTTCTCACACCAACCTCTCTTTACCTCATTACCTCAGGAGTCGCAGAATAAAGTCTTCCTGGCACAGCGCGCTGTGGCACTGAGCTCAACCAACAGGACTCTTTGATCTCCCCAGCCTGGCTCAGGATCACGTTCACTTTCAGACCCCAGACCTGCCTCCGTACCCTTTGTAAACCTCGATTACGTCATCTAGAAATTATAATTGGAGAAGACTCCACGCCCTTGCAGCCCTGGGATCCAGAGCTTAACAGGGTCCCTCGCCACCAAGTCTCTGCCTCTCTAGTAAACCTCCTCTTTTGGACTAATAAATACAGTCACATTGCCGAGCGGTCTTTGAAATCAGCGTGCTGAAGGCGGGGGCAGGACTTCATCTGAGCATGACCAGCTGGAGCACTCTTTAGTGAGAATACCTCACTGGCGTGCCAGCCAGTTGACAGCCGGGTTTAGTAGCATTAGGGGCGGAGCCACTCGTGGTTGACTCAGGATTGAGACGAGAGGCCGTCACAGGACTATACCTTGCGCCGAACGTCCGTGATTTGCTATGATGGAGAGCATCTGAGCCAATCGCCTGTCGCTACAGACCCAAGGGGCGTGCTAATTGGCCCGGGACTAATCTGTGGCCGAGGCAGAGACAACCAGGGAACATACTCTCGCCAATCGGAAGTGCTAGGAGGCGGGCGTGCCAGTCCGTGAACAGATAGGACGCCATGAATATTTTGCCCAAGAAGAGTTGGCATGTCCGGAACAAGGACAATGTCGCCCGTGTACGCCGTGATGAGGCCCGGGCCCGGGAGGAGGAGAAGGAGCGTGAGCGGAGAGTGCTGCTCGCTGAGCAAGAGGTAAGCTCCGTGGAGGGCCGGGCGGAACTCCTGAGGGCAACCAAGCGCGCAGGCGCTGCGCGTAGAAGCCGGAAGTGGAGGCTTGCACAGACGCAGTGCGCTCCGTGTGTCCAAGTGCCGGGTTAGGATCCTACTTTGGGGAACATTTGCCTGCTAACCAGTGACAACCTCCACGGACCCTCCCTTGTCTTTTTTTTTTTTTTTTTTGAGATTCATGCTTTATGTGCACCTCTAAATTTCAAGACCCTCTTTAATTTGTGTTTCAT